TCATACATATAAAGAAATATTACATATTTTAAATAAATATAATATCTTTTGAAAAATATTATAGCAATATGTTTTTAAAATTTGGATATAATAGCATTCTATTTTAAATTAGTTGAAATAATGTTAAAAATTGTGATAAATTCTCCACAAAACCTTTTAATATTGTCATAAAATGACCAAAAATACAAGATATTATAATAATTTAATATCATAATATTCGATTTCCATAAAAAATATTTTATTTAAATATTACAATTATATAAAAAAATTCATATCACATTTTTATTAATAAGTATGTATTTAAAATAATGAAAAAAATATATTTTAAATTAATTTCTTAGAATGTCATATTATGCAGGTTAACTTTTTTAAAATATCACATTTCAAAACTATGATGTTATTTTCATAGTATAATAATTATATTAACGAAGATTCACAAAAAAGAATTTGCACATCAATAAATTTTTTATAAATTAAAAAATATTTATAATAGTTCAAAATTACAATAAATATATATTGAGTATTGATTTTGATTTTTTTTAAAAAAAAATTGTGTTTTTCAAACATAAAATCAATTCCAAATATATCCAAAATTAATTTTATGATTGAAAGTTAAATGAAGTTGGTTCAAACTTGAACTTGAACATAATTTTATTTTTAGTTTAATTGAATATTTGATAAAAATGATTATAAAATTAATCTTATTCTTATTATAAACTAAAAAATATAAAATTACTAAAACTTACAACATGTATTTTGTTGCAAACTATGGTTGGTAGTACTATATTTAATGGCTAGTGGATTAGTGAATTGAGATTAATATACTAACACAAATTAGAATTTAGTCTAGTAATAATTTGAATTTGAATTAAATTAAGTAAAACTAATTCATGATTTGGATAAATACCGACAATCTTTCTCTCAACTCATGTTGTAAATACTGTATAACAATCATGCAATATGTTTTGAAAGAAAACGTAACATAGATTATTCTTTAAACTTAAGCTAATTAGAACCAAGCCATAGTCAAAACATGATAAAATAGAGATATATAAAATTATCAATATGTGCTCCTCATGCAAAATCTATATAGTATCACAATGTCTTCCTTTAACATACTTTAAAAAATAACTTTGATGAACATATCAGTTTGATAGACTTTATCGTCAATCTAAACTAGTTCAATTGTTTTATCAAAAATTGCACTTTTTTTAGAAAGTGATACATGATGTATACTTATACAATGATGATACTATACAATACTTAGTTAGAATTGAAATCCAATTTCAACTACATATTTGGTTTCAATTGTGAATTGAACTAGGCATTTATACAAAATGAATCTTAAACTTATATATCAATCATCAAATGTAAACATGTATATAGTTGTAGATGTATTTTTGTCCTAATCTTATACATAGTTAGCATCAATGTAGCATAACAAATATTGTTATACATTCTTGTTATCTTTTATATTGTACTTGTACATCCAATTCTTATCAATCAAAGTTTGATTTCTTAGAAATTTCATAAGCTTCCATTTTTATTTTCCATCAATGATTGTATTTCATTTTCCAAAACAATATTTCACTCAAGTTTATTGATAGAAAATTGACTTTCTTTTGAAAAATAATGTTTTTTTTTTTTTTTTAAATCAACGCAATGTCTTCATCATCTCAAGTCTTTATATCATGATCTTCAAGAATAAAAAAATTAGCCTATAATATATAATATACATGAACCTTATTTATTCAATTTGATGATATCATTATAGACAATGCCGGTTGATCTTTATAGTGTTACAAGATTTATTGACTCTCATCAATCAACTACAACATATTCATCTATTTTTTTCTCTTCAAAAATTTGCTCTTTGTTTCAAAGTTGTATCATTATAATTAGTATGATAAATTTCTTACTAAACAACAAAAGTGGATGAATATTTGTTCTTGTCATGATAAGTTGTTTGGAAAATATATTTTTCTTTCAATGATTTGATTTCATAGAAAACACACCTAAGAAATCAACAATATTTGGATATATATAATCCAACTTGATCATATTTTTTTAAACTATGAAAGTATAAGCTATAAAATCAAACATTTTATGATAATTACAATCATCAATTTTTTGTAATTCAATTTAAATTATTTCAATAAATATATTAAAATAGAAGGATACAAATATACAAAATACACTACTCTATTGATAATTTTAGTCCAAAAGTCATATGATAAATTATATTGACTCAATATATTATGCCTTTTTTTCAACATTATTTAATTTCGATTCTCAAAAGTAACGTTTTATTACAGAACACGTAAACCATAGTAAGATAAGAAGTATTTGCAATAACTCTGAAATTTATTAAAATTATTCATTATTCATTACCCATACATAAAAATCTCAACTTGTGTCAAGTCTAAATCTCAACTTTGACTTTATAATTTCTAAAAGTTATAAAGATCTTAGACTTTTGTGTGAAAACAAAGCTCCATACAAATCTTGAATAATAAAAAAGTAATGATACATAATCATTTTTTGCCCGCATAGACAACTAAGTACGGAAATTATTCTCGATACATCTCAACAAATTATCAATTTTTGCGTACTCATCCGTTTTACAAGTTGAAAACTACTATATTGTATGTATCTCATATAAATATGACTTGTAGAATAAATGATCGCAAAAACACACATGATGCACTTGTGTAATTGGATTTAAATCATTTGACTAAACACTGGAACTGTGACATAACAATTTTGCCCATCAAATACATACTTGCTACCACGATTATGACCTAAAGCAATCGACTCCTCAATCATTTTCATGATTGGATTGCAAAATGTGTCAAAATGCAACTTTCAGCTTTGATCTTGTTAATATTGAGTTTGCAATCTAATATTTAATATTAAATGTTCACATTACAATAACAATTGTTGCAACAATTTCATGTATAGCTTGAAAGTAGTTATACATGTTAAGATTAATATCGATTAAGGGGTAATCTCAAGTTTAGTTATTTATAGCTATGTTTGTCGTCCGTGTTGGATATATATACCCTGATGCTGATGCATTGTTCATTATTGTTGTTTCACTTTGGTAGTAAAGTATCTTGAGTGTTTTTCCTAGTGTAGGTAACCCTTTGGAGAATGAACCACGTTATTACTGTGTGTATCTATTTGTATAGTTGCATGTCTACCAATCAATGTGCATATTTCGGATAGACAATACATTCATAAGCACAACAACACTAGAGATCATGATTCAACTCTTCGAGTAACGGGAAAAAAACATAAAATTATTGTTTTGATCTTGTTAAACATTGAGTTCGCAATTCAAATACTCAAATTTTCACATCTTCATATCAAATGTTGAAAAAATGTCATCGGTAGTTGAAAAACATTCACACAATCATAGCAATATCAGAAATGCATGATTCATCAATATCAGCAGAAAAAAATACCTTAAAGTATGACTGAAATCTTATGCTACCTCTTCCACATAATGACAATGTTCTTAGATTTTGATGTTTAAAGTTCACCCAAACACTAATCTAATTAATCTAAGTTATTAAAATACATGAATTCATTACTGACATATTAAATCATAAATATTTTAACAAGAATATAGATAATAAAAAATCTCTTATCCAAAAATTATATTAGCATGAATAGAAATATATTTTGCATGTCATTTTGTTTATAGATTTTCATATGATAGTACATAATTCATGAAAAACATATTAAACTTATAATTACTCATTTGCTTGTATTTTTTACTTTCTTCGTTCAACGTAAAATTGAATGAATTTTTTTGTATTTTTTAATAATCTTAAATATTTAATGATGCAAGATGATCAAATTTATTATTTGATAGGAAAAATAAACACAGACATATCAAATTCATGCAAGCTAGACTTGAAAGTCATGAAGTGAATTATATGTATAGGAATATATTCTATTTGATACTAACAGTTGTTTGTTCTAATACATGATATGTTACATTCAAACTTCTAATCTCATGTAAATTATGATGAAAAATGCAAAAATCAAACACCTTAAACATTATTTGATTTCATATGTGTTGCATTAATTGAATAAATGTACTCAACACTTGTATTTTTTATTTTTAAACACAATAGAAAATTATGTGGAATTGAAACAAATATGATTTCAAAGATTGACAATTTGATGACAAAATAATATTAACCTAGACTATGAATGTCATAATGCATTTAATATGGTATAATATCATGTGATGAATAACATAAATAAATTGTTTTTATTGTTATTCATTTAAATATTTTTTATTATATTATTTGTAATTGAAAATACTGCATGATTGAATTATGTACAAGCTTCAATATTGATTTTCTTCCTATTATATTGTAATTTATACTACATTTGTAGTTGATTTGATTTGTATATGTAGAAGAAAAACTAAATATTTAAATTATTTTAGATATCTTGTTAAACTATATGTAATTTTGAATCTAAGTATTAATTCTAAGAAGCATTTTGTTAGAAAAACTTGTCAATATTATACATGTTTGACGCATTAGCATTACGTTGATTGCATAAAAGCATTACGTTGATTGTCTATGAAAATCTATATTAGAATTGCAAATGAAAACTTGTTGACAGCATGATATTTCAAGTGACTTATACTTTTACGTGAAATAAATGAATATTGCTGTATCTCTATAGTACACTTGATCATACAATTTGAAATTATAAAACTTAGTAAATATATGAGCTCTTCAAAAAATGTTGATGTTTACCCTTTGAAAACAGAACGTCGTTCATATATCTGTTAGAAGAAGAAACATATTGTAATTTTATGACATCTCAATCGTTGTCTGTATTGTATTTTCTTATCATGTGTCGTGTTAGAATGGCTTGAAATATTTTTCAGTACGCTACGTCGCTACCGCACTTAAGTGGAACTATACTCCAGTAACACGCCGACAGTCGTGGTTAGAACACGAGTATCCTCCGGATAGCTGTGGACAACCCTAATGTTAGGACTCGACAACTGCGATCTGTGCAGATCGAAATTTCTTTTTCGCGCGGAGAATTTTGACTCGCTCTGATTCCAGTGTTCCAGCCCGGCCCAGTGCTTGTCAATCTATTGCTCTCGTCTAAATTACTTGCATCTCACAACCATGCCGGGCCTCGTGCAGCAGGTTCCGATCTCCGTCGAACATCTGGTGCAGTTGAATCCTTACAACCCCGATATTTTGCCGGATCTCGAGAGCTATGTTCAGGAGCAGGTAATATGCTGCACTGGTTTGGCCTTTTCTAACTGTATATATGATGAAGATTATGGTATTAATCGATCAGCTTCTCGAATCTCCGTGCGTCGAAGACCCCAATCTCGACGATGTAGAGCTTTTGAACCGCAGAATGAATGGACCGGTGAACAGCATTTGGACTCACCAAAAGCAAATGAATGAATCACCATAATGTGAATTCAACAGGATCATGGTTGAAGAATGTGCCTTGGATACACTAAGTGTGAAGCCTCGGGGGATTTTGGAATAATTCTGCAAAGGTTGATTGTTTGGAAGCTTGTAGGTCCATGAATCGGTGGCTAGATGATGCGTGTGTCTGAACTCACTATCGCGAAATGTTCCAATTCTTAAGTTGTTTGCAGTTTCTGGCAGTGTGTCACGTCGGAAATATCTCTTTCTATGATATGGTATGAGAGTGTTACTGAATTCCACATTACATGTTTGTGTACGTTGTCAGCGTATGCATTCACCGAGTGGTCCTTAGAGAGAATTTGCAAGTAATTAGCTCCGCTTACATACGGGCTGTCGTTTGAAAGTTGGAGTGTACCTAAAGTTGATGTTTGGACTATTAGAAGTTCCTTCTTGTTGGATATGCTGAGGAAAAAAAATATAATATGCAAGTTGTCTAGAAGGGACGAAATGGGTCTGTACAACCTTTTGATTCTTATGTGCATGGGTCCCTTCACAGTGTGTTCACCTCTGCTCTGCGAATTTCCTCGTTAAGGACATGCACTACAATTAAATATCCGTTCGAGTGAATCTCAGAAATTTTGTTATTAAAGCAAAATCCTTTAGCTTGTTGTACATGCTTGATAGTTGCTATGACTGTGCATTTTTTCCCCCGTTGCGCATTCGAATATGGAGTCTTAGAAATTAAGATTTGTACATCGGGGAGGCCTGTTTCATGAAACTTGAGAACAACACCCTTGTTAAGTGCAATGCCTGGCACCAACGAACAATAGAAATATTTTCTTAGAAATTTTGTTGCCAGCGATATGAAGATTTTCTGAGAGCGTAGTTGCTGCCTTTATGTACAGCTACATAGATTTGTTGAAGGGTTAAAAGATTTGTTGCATGAGGTTTAGAAACTTAAAGTTCCTGACTTTTTTGGAAGTAGCTGACGTATGTGGTTGAATACGTTATTTCTTTGTTGTTTAGAGATCGAAACCGGTAGCAACAAAATAGTTGCTACGAGCGTTGCTTGCTTGTTTTACAGTGAGGGTCCGTATTGATGGAAGGACTCATATGAACATTGAGCTCGGGAAGTTCAGAGACGTTGCGTATAGCATATCGAGTTGCATACATACGACTGTTGACAGTGATGTAATTTGGGAGGGGCGTACGGAAGAGCAATGTCACTACTTTCAGCAGCGCGATTTGGAATCCGTAATGCAGAGGGATCACAGCAAATTGAAACGCCTGGATTACCCCCACCATTGCAGTTTTGAAGTCGTTGGCATGAAGTGCGCTTGTTAGTTGGAACGGTTGATTATGATCACTACGATGTCTAGTTTTAGTAAAATCTGCTCAAGTTTAACCAGTATCGCTCTCTTACCTTGCACTCCTGCATGCAATTCTTCATTTATTCACCTACTAACTCTCTTTTGCCCCCATTAAATTGCTACATCTACCTATGTGTTTCCTGGGTATGCTGTCGACTTTTTGTGGACTGAAATCTTTTCTTCCCGGTGTTTCAAATGCAGCAAAAAGTACATCTAAGCAGAGCTCAGTATTATCCATGTTGAAAAGGTAGGCGAGCGTAGGGGGACGCTCGCCTACCTTTTCTGGGCTGCAGTTATTTTTCTGCACCGTCCCCTCAAACAGGAGTTCCTGTTAGACTAATGACCCACCCACCGTGCCTTTTATCAATTCAATAGCAATTCAATTTTAGATATAATCGGTAAAGGAACTCTTATTACTTGGGTGAACACTTATCGTCTATGCGAAATTCCATGTTCTATCTTCGTCAACTTATATAGATGTAAGTCAGCAGAGTAGAAGATGCTCCATTTCTTGTATGGTTCAGATTTTGTGGAATTTCTGCTCAATGAGAGGTCAGTCGCGAAGTGAAGAAGCTCCTTTCAGGTTTCTAGGTGTGATGGGGATGGTTCTTCTTCTTACCACGGATGTAAGCAAATAAGCAATTGACAGTGTTGTTGTAATGGAAGCGATCAAGTTCAGCAAATGAATGGCAGATTCATGGACTTTTCCTGTTTAGTATGAAGTGGTTATTTCGTGCAAGTTGTTCTAGGGTTTTGACGTTGGCAAACGGACGTAGACATCCATAGCGCGTCACACTGATGGAGGAATCGTCAATCTGAAACCGCATCGAGATTAAGAACATATTGTGCTTTGATGCAAATACTTAAATGGTATTTGTATGTTAGAAGTTTGAGGCATTCTTCGGCGAAAGTCATTTAGCTCCGGATATGCACAGGATGTGAGAGGTTCGAGAATTATAGACCTAGATAGTGTGTATCCTTAGAAAATTATCAACTTAATATCTGTCCAGGAACAAAATCTTGTAAGTTGTTCTAAGCGTTTTAGAAGGTACGTTCTCTCGTGAGTGTGTTGTGTTTTTGATGATGGATGGAGCAACGAATTGCACTATACACTTGAAGGGTATCTTCTCCAGAGCATACTAGTGTAATTTCACATCTAAGGTTGTGTGCAACTCTGGTTTTTCTCATTTGGTTTCTATTGATTCTTGATCTCGCTGGAATGTCTTTGCAGCTGCTTTCCTCTGTTTAGCCAGTATGCCCTGTTGATGTTCTGAGATACTTTTATGGGTCTTGATCTGTGTCTTAACCTACACACTGACACGGAATCATCGAAGACTATCAAACACCGTTTTTGCATATTCCGTTGTCTTAAATCGCTGAGAAGAAACTTAGGTTTGGTTTTCGTTCTGGGATACAAAATGGGGCTGGTTTGAGACGCAAAGACAGCTGTACTCTGGAAGATGTATGGTCGTAAATAGCTAAAACATTTTGTTTGCTATCTCATTGTAGGTTTCTCAGCAGACGTACAGTTTGGATGCCAACTTGTGCTTGTTGCGTCTCTACCAGGTTGGTTCACTCATTTCACGTATATAGTCTGATTCTTACTGAGTTTAGAATATTCAACGTGCATTTCCATGGAGTTATTTATCTGGGAGACCGACGGACGAAATGTACCAGTCATAATCGGCTTGTCTCTTTACCCATTTTTCTTGGATTCTGTGCAGTTTGAGCCTGCCCGCTTGAATGTACATGTCATCACCAGAATCCTGGTCAAGGTGAGCAGGGAGCTGTGTTTCTATTCGAAAGTTTTACCTTCATTGAATCGGCCGTTGCCCGCCTATTGACAGTAGCATCATCCGTGATACGTGGTGATATGTGAAGTTGGAAGCGTAGAAATGATTGCTGAATTTGCAGGGTTTAGTTCAGGTTTTTTACGCAATTTTTTTTAACAAAAGGTGTTGTCTCTGAAAAGTGACATTTCGAGTGTAAATGTCTTGTCTCCGCAGGCTTTAATGGCCCTTCCAGCTCCGGATTTCAACCTGTGCATGTTCCTCATTCCTGAGAGGCTTGTATCCTGCTCTTCTTCGTATTGTCCATTTTCTATGTGGCCTCTATGTTTAACCTACTCGTACCTTGTATATGCTCTATAGTATGCAGTGTAGTCAGTCATTTAAAGAACACTTTGACGTATCCTTGACCGAGCCTCTTTCAGCAAATGGAGGAACCATTTTTGACACTTGCGACCCTCGCCCACTTTTTAGAGGTATGGACCACTACTATCACTTGTTATTTACATCCTATCGTTTAGCACTCTAGCCGTACAGCCAAAGGAGTGCGGACATATCTCTTGAATATTGTAGAAATTCTGTTTCAACGATTTCTATAGACAAGTAAAGTATATAACGTGTTAATGGATATGAAATCTCTCTTACGTGAGAGATTTCATTGCCATTGGAGAGATTAATATGCGTTCATTGGCCTTAGTTGCATCTGAAGCCTACAAACACAGTACGTACCTGAAGCCAATAAACACAGTAGGCTTTACATCGTTTTATATCAAAAAAAATATCGAAGTCTTCTGCCATCATGGTCCTTACTCATGTTTCGTGTGATTACACGTCGTAATAACCAGCGTCTTGTTTTCAGACTGCAAGATTCCGTGAGTTCTGGGACGAAGCGAACCGAAACCGAGACATCCTGGAGGTGGTTCCTGGTAAGATATATTTCACCTCAGAAATGTCACACCGTCATTCAGTATAATTCTTGCCAAAGTCAGTTATGCTAGCAGGAGCTTTGGACTCTGAAATGAAATAGCCAATGTACGTCGATTTTTGCTTCTACACTGAAACAATACTGCTTTGCAGGTTTTGAGCAAGCAATTCAAGACTACGCCATCCACGTGTTGTCACTTACATACCAAAAGTTACCCCGCCAGATCCTCGCGGAGGTAAGAACGCGTGAAAGCTGTGCAGAGTGTTATACCGGCTCGTAATGATGATTGTGGTTCTTACCTTGTTCAAGTTAGTTAAGAGAAAACTCGTAACTTGGACCCGCTTGAATGGAAGTACTCGTTGTTTAAGATAGCTGGCCTTAAAAGGTCAAGCTTCCATAGGTTTGCTTTCTTACGTAGCAATTCTGCAGTGTGCGGACGATATCGACAGCACACGCCGACTTCTTTGACGTGAAATCGTAATGGTCGTTATCAGCTGTCGCCTACTGTGTAGCATACGCGGTGTAGCTAACTCCTCTGATTCTGCTCCTGGTGCTATCGGCAGGCCATAAATGTCGAAGGTTTGTCGTTGGACAAGTACATTGAGCATCAGCAAGTGAACAACGGATGGTCTCTTGAGAAGGGTCACGGAGGAGGGCAGGTAAGAGAAGAGCTTGATTTTTGTCGTGTAGATCTCATTTCCGCTTCCTGCCTCGAACTTGAAACTTTAAGCTCACAGTGAAGATGATGAAACTCAGAAAGCAGGGGCCGCTTACTCTCATCAATATGGGGAACTGTTGATTTTTGAGGGTTCATGCCATTGTACGTCGCGGGCAAGGTTAAGGCATTGTAATGGTGCACTAGCAAGTATTTTCAGCGAGTAATTTAAGGGTTTCACTTACTTAAAATAATATGCGACCTTGCATCATACCTGAATTTCACTGCTGTCTGTCTCACTAGCAGTCCCCGCTTCTTGTTGATTGTACCTACAGAAAGGTTGAGCCCCCTATATAGAGCTACAGATATCTAGGTGTTGAGGCCATTCCATCTCATTTGGGTATTTCCACTTCAAACGTATATCCATCATTCGTGCAACCGATAATGTATTGATATCTCACCTGCTCGGTGATTCAACATCACTGCGCTTGAATCCTGGCAAGGTTGTAGGAAAACGTAGTCTGATGCAGCCCTTGTTATCGTTGAGGTTTCCTTCAACTTAGAAGTCTCTTGTCTTGTGATCACGGGCGTTCGAAAATAAAACCAGCCTTTGAAACACTTCGGCAACTATTCGTGCCGGCTAAAGATCTTGTTTCTAATCCTTCTGAGTTTGCTACTCTCAGACAACTGCGTGGAAGTTATTCTTAAAACTAACAACCCGACTTTTGAAAGAAGACCCAGCCCGTGAGCTCAACAACGGATGTGTTATAACCTCCCTTCGCTTTAGTGCAAGACTTAAAAAAGAGGATAAAGCGGTCTAAAATTCCGCAACCAAGCATAATTGCAACTAATCTAAAGTGCCTCGGTCATCTGTCAGATGAACCCACCTTCTGCCGTCTGTTGTGTGTATAATTACGTGGTGTTCTATAGCAACATGATATAGTTTACAATCCATACAAGGCTGCAGAAACAGTTAATAGAGTCTTTTGAAGTCATCGTCCAGTGTTACTGCATGAATCTTTTAGACCTGTGGTTGACTTCCTACATCATAAACGGTTCTCCTGTATATAGTATGGTTGTTTATCAGATTATTGGCTAACTATTATGACGTGTACTAAGGATGGTGATTAAGCATATTCTGGAACCGTTCCAGGTTTGCCTTCGAAATCAAGCATGTAGACGTCATAGGTGCTTCAAAATGAACGTGCTTGTGAGGATAAAGTGTATCTGCAGATTCACCTTGAGTAGTTTCAACTCGTACCGTAGATATCATTCGTGCCTATGATACGAGAACCAATGTCAGAGTTTGTACTATCCTTCGCAGTGTCGCCTGCTGGCAACGACATCTACTTGTTTATTATTCTCAGTTTGATGACACTTTTTGCTCTTTGTTACTCCACGACTTATTTTCGTATAATAAGATGATCGGTGAGGAAGACGCAGCGTTGCGTGAACACTTAAAGTAGTGAGATTTCTGGCCACTTCGTTGTCAAGCTGCGTCTCTCAGCAGCTGGCTTCTCTGCTTTCTAACTAGAGCCATACTCTTCCATTGCTGTTTGTCTTATCGTATTATTGCATCTTCACATGCTATCTTTCTCCATTCGTTCTGCTACATCCTGGGATGATGCCGTGGTACCGTTGCCTGTAACCGTCATTCGCACCGTTGTATGTTTAAGTACGTGCAGTGATCATGTATAATGTAAAATAATAGTAAGAGATCGGAGATGCGCCGTCTACTTTCTAACTTGCAATCTTGGATGAGGTAGGGCTCTCAATTAAAGTACTATCGCAAAGATCGTCCTACACGGGTCTTACCAGGCTCATGCCGTCCCGTATACTCAGCACCTCCATATGTATCCAGTATCGTTTTACAGTCGCCTAGGGGTGAGTTGAACTTGAAGCGAATTAAAAGAGATTCCTTTGCAGATCATGGCTTTCCTGTCGGGAACGGTCATTATGGTCACTGGCTCTCTGGATGGAGATTTTGGAAACATTCTTATCCTGAGCTCCTGCAGTGTCACTGATAGCTGTAATCTAGCAACCTCGTCGACCGTCGTAGGCGTAGCACATTCAGGGACTGAAGACGAAGATGGTGCTATCTGAAGGAAGTCAATCGTCCGTTTTTGACCTTGACTGTACCTGTGCCATAGTTTTAATTTGCGCTATTTAATCGCTTGTGTTGTTTGTTGTTGCTTCTGGAGACTCTCTCCCGACTTGTTGGGGGAGATACCTTTGTGTGTGGACACTCTCGTTACTTGTGTATGTATGTGTGAGTTGTGAGTAGAGCATGGCAGCGATGTATGATGTATGGCGATACCGAGTCGCACGACAGAAGGAATAAGTGCGGAGATATTACTACAGCATCACATGTCATAAACAACTCTCCCTCTTTTATATGGCAGCCGGATGTGTCGAACGCAGTCTCTCTGACGTGGGTTACTCATATTTGTGCATGTTTTCATTTTACAGTTGGTGGTGCTACCGCCTAACGAGGACAATCATCCAGTGTTGAGAAAGAACGCGGCTGATAGTATTCCACTGGAACTCGTCGCGAAGCTTTTCCCCGTCTTGAGCTGAGCGGTGAAACGTGGTTAATCTTATGCACCGAAATGCGTACGACGATTTTTAAATGCGGCCAAGCTTCTACTGAGATCCGAGAGTTTATGGTCAAGAGTGTAGGCCCTAAAAATGTAACCTCCGGTTGATGTTTGTTTAACTGTAATACATGAAATGTGAACCAGCATTTTTGCTAACCAGTAAAACTATCATTTTTGTTCATCAGCAAACTTCGTGTCTAATGAGGAAACGACATTTGACAATGGCCTAGAGAATGTACTGAAAAAGCCGATCTGTAAACTATCGCACCAAGTTTTGGATCGCGTAAAATAGGGCAAGCGTGCGATGTTGAGGTTTCAAATTTTCAAAAGAATTAAAGGAGCCACAGTCTGGGCATTTTGAATGGATGTCCAGAGTGTGAGAAGACGGGTGAACGGATTTATGTCGAGTTGGAGTATCTAGTGTTGTATTGTGTCGCACGATAGATATAGCTTTGTAATTTTCGTTACAAAATCATCGTTACCTTGGTTGGCAGAACTGCCAACCAAGGAATCCAAAGGAACTGGATGTGATTAGACTCATAGAGTAGAAATTTTAAACAGTGAAACACCCATGGTCATCTGGAATGTCAACGTCCTAGACTGCAGTATGGAGGCGTACCATGCGCACTCCAATCAAGTCTTGTAACGGAGATTGTACGAGCGTACCCGTAGTGACGCAACACGATTTTGTGCTGCTGGTTTGACGGTTTAGACATGAGCGGGTGCCGTCGTGGAGCACAGGCCCGAAATTGTGAATAACTCTCAAAGGCCAAGATAATCAGTGAGTGAATGTGAAACATGGGAAAACGGGAGAACAGAAGAGTGCGTCACCTCCAGCCGGTCCGTGCAGCTGCCTCTGCCAGGGTCCCAGGCCGACGACTGGTCAACAGAGGAATGATCCTTTGGCAGGGCAAAGTTGCAGTAAGTTAGAAGGCTGTTCAGAAGTTCTTTTATCATAAAGAATCGAAACGCGCTAGACTTGGAAAAGGAAACAAAACGTGGGAAATTATAGGACTTTCCAGTGCTCTGGACTGGGGACACAGTCTTGGACTAGCCCCTTGGTCAGCTTACCTCATCAGTAACGCCAGATCATATCTCATTGCCAACGTCACCTATGTAACCCATAACTTGCTTAGCAAAGCAGATCCTCTTTGCAGTCTATATCTCTGTGGGGACCGGTACTGTGTTTCCAGAGCAAATTATCTGCCCCGCCGGACCATGTTCTCCATCTCATCAAGATGTTATGTGATGTGAGGATGTATGAAAAATGAGTTGACCAGCTTTCATGCAGCCGACTATTATTATTATTACTATTATTATATTTTTTTCAAAAGGACTATCATTTCCCTCGTCTGTCCGAGCACATTTTCACCTTGCTCGAGATGGGGTGCATTCTTTAAGGCCCTGAAAGAAGGTTTTACATCTTCATTGGCAATTCTGAATTTCTGAGTCTGTTGAACTTGGGCAACTATTATCGGGCCCAGTTATCAGTGCTAATGGATGATACAAGAGCGAAGGGGAAGGCCAAATCATTTGGGAAGATCGAGCTCTGTGGCCCTTCCTTCACAAATTCACAGGTGAATGCGAGGCACATCTGAGTCATCTGGACTCGATTCTGTCATCTGGACTCGATTGTTTAACACACCAACAACAAGAAAAAGAACAAAAGGGGAACCTGCAGTTCTTGCAGGTGGACAGAAAAGGCCCCCCCTATACATGCGATCGAGGTCCTATCGTCCATGTTTTTTACCCGCTGCTCGAACTGCCTCCCTCGGTGGGAAGAGGATCTCGGGGGCATTGAACGCAGATATTGTTTTGCTGTCATCTCAGCGAACAGAATGGAGGAACGAGAGTTCTTCCAATGGATCGGTCATGCGAGTCAAGCTCCTCGCTGATATGACCTCATGGCACTGACGCATGAAGCAAGCGGAATGAAGTCAGTAACTTTTGGGGCCAGCATGGCTGGGTGGTGTACCTTGTATGTCAAGGTGAGGTGAGGTGAGGTGAGGGAGGGAGGGAGGGAGGGAGGGAGGGAGGGAAGGGCCTTTCCAATCCGACTGATTGATCGAGGAGAGAAAGAAGCTGCGGCTTTTACAATGGTTCGGTGAGCTGGGCTTGGCCCGATGCGATCCGAGGAGATTCAGAAACCCCAGCAAAGTACCGAGCTCCAGGCTTCAGCAGGCGTCACGCATGAAGACAGTTCGGCATGTGGTTACAGGATGCTAAGCACTCGAGAGCGTCGTTGACATCACAGAGTTTGCATGTAGCACAGAGTCGAATGAGTCCAGATTGATTGCGCAACGCGCCCTGTCTTTGATGAGGTAATGTCTCCATCATCTGGAACGCTACAACATACATAATCAGTACGTGGTCTAGTCATTCAAAGGCAGGCAGGCTCGCAGGCTCGCAGGCACGCAGCCAGGCACGCAGGCAGCCAGGCCGAGCCAAAGCAAGCAGGTCAACAGAGTCTTGCGGTTTCTGGGTCTAATGTACACATCATGAGTGCCTACCACCAGCTCAGACCCCATTGTCAAGCCCAGACCATGGGCAGGGCTGGGCAGGCCGGGGCGGGGCGGGCCACAGCAGTCAAGCAGTCGGCTGCGGATAAGTGCAACCTCTCTAACTGCAAACCATGGTTAAGGTCTGGACAGGGCCCCGAAAGGCATCCCATTTGGCATGTAAATGACAATTTCCCAAAAGCGGCCTCGAAGCGCACCGGGCCGAATGTGCACTTCCTTGCCACCCAGTCGTGGACGAGCTGCACTAAATGCTGCGCATGTGCATGTGTGCGGTTGATGAATATTCCACACATTTCGTAGCTGGAGACGAGAGAGAGCTTCTCCTCTCGATCGGGAGCTGGAAATTCGCCGAGCTTCGTTAGTGCAAGGATTGCAGATATGGATAAGCGCAAAAGTTGCAGTCATTCACCAGTGCCGAGCAGCAGCAGCAGCAGCGGTAGAAGTAGTAGTAGCAGTAGGTTCGAGAGAGGTTAAAAGCGCGATCTGCTAGGCTCGCTTGCACTTATCCGAGGGGCCGATTGTTTCTAGTCCTGAAATGTCTGTCTGTTTAAGATTCCGCATGTAACCTCTCGTACGTAAGAACCACAGAACCCACAGCCTTGATCGGATGCAGTAATCATTGACTCATCCTTGGCCAACTCCTTTAAGTATTTTATGTGTCATCACTTTGTCAACACTCAAGTGGCATTTGCAAAGGCAATGATTCATGCTTGGAATGAAATGCTTTTACGCAGTGACTCGCTGGGTTTGACGATAGGTGTGTCTGGATCAATTGAATGGCGTTTCGGACCTTCGGCACATATCTATCTGGTCATTGCATTAAAATAGTAAAATACTCTGCGTCTCCATCATGGTGGCCAAGATTTTTTGTGTCAGAAGATTCCCCGGACGCCTGATTTGTTCAAAGTCCGAAGGCGACGCAGGCAGAAAAAAGGAAAGACGAAAGAGATCGCCAAAGAGAGCCCAAGCTCGATTGCAAAACAACAAGTTGATCTAATTCGCCCAGAGCATCATGACTGCAGCCAAACAGAAACTATAATTCGATATGATGAGTATTATTCTCCCCTGAGGCTTCCTCTGCAGGCAGTCAGCCCGGACGCTGCTTCTGGGCCGAGCTGAATTCGCGAGCTGCGATCGACGAGCGCGTTCGCTCGAGCGCTGTTTGTCCCGGACTCAGGTAGGCAGCTGCCCCTCGGTGAACATCCACTTGACTACTGCTGTCCAGAGTCCATAGTCCCTTAGGGTGCGTTATAATCTACCGGTACAGTTGTTATTTTTTCCTTTCTTTCTGCCTTGCGATTATTTTCCTTTTCCGTCTCTGTGTCATATGATTGTGAAAGGACTCCATACATATGATTTATGGGGCAATCATCAAGTCAACGCACTTGAATATGAGGGAATCATTGGAACAGGCACTCATGGCCATGTGCGCGCTAGTTCGTTTAATCATTTCCAGCACATTGCATTATCTTCCTACGACGGGGTGATATGGCACTCATTGTCAAAACATTTGGCAACAGTGAGCAGGAGCTGTGAAATCATGAATGATACGAGACGCTCGCCCAGTTGCAGGTGGCGTCCATGAGCCCCCCGGTCTCCATTTGGAAATCCGAGTGAGTGGTGTGTCTGTTGGGGCGCCAAAGTTGGCCTGCTGCTGGTGTAAAGTCGCTCACTGTAAAATCCTCGAAAAGTAGCGAGCGACGAGTGAGGATTCAGGACTGACTGACCGCCTCACTCACTCACTCCCTCACTCTCGCACTGTCACGGTGTAGGCATAGTGTGTAGGCGTAGAAAAGGAGGACGAGGAGGAAGAGAAAAGAAAAGAAAAGAGTGAGTTTTTTTTTTGAGTTTGGGGGGGGGGGGGTTGGGCAAATAATAATAATGTACACGTCCAAATATCGATCATTCTGCGAGGGAGCGTGCATTGAAAAGCACATGGTGTGATAAAGGAGCAGAGCATCATGCAAACACTCAAGCAGGGTCATGGTAGATAATGATTCCCATCCGTCCGTCCGTCCGTCCAACCAGCGAGAGAGTGAGTGCACCCTTCGTGCAAACGTGAGCAAAAGCGACCCCATGGTAGACATAAATACTCGCAATCATTGTTGGAACTCATGGGGGCTCGGGCTCACTCGCTCGCTCGATCTGCTTCTCTCGCTCACACACTTCAAGAATCCCTCACTCAATCTCCGTCCAAGACATGCTTTGGCCCCAACCCTCCGTGTCGGGGACTCGTCAAGATCACATCGAGGTCCAAGTTGCGTACATAGATAGACAGATAGACAGACGGATAGCGAGATAGATAGATAGATAGATAGATCATTCTCTCCTTCATAGATGCATACATCCATAGCTCTTTGCAGCAATGCAGCAATGCAGCAGCAGCGGCTTACTTTCCCGACTTCCAATATTACTGCGAGCATCATGACTCGCTGACAAATCATGAGTGGCTTCCTTTATCGGCCCATATGCTCGTGCAATTGCAGGAGGAGTGACATGCACAAACATATCTGGTTCGGTTCCCTGGCCTCGCCTCGCTTGCCCTGCCCTGCCCTTCAAGAGCTTGGATCCCGAAAGTCTGGAGGAATCTGCGGCCTTTTCACCCTTTTAATTCTCGTGGAAAAAAAAGCAGCTTGCCCGAGCAAAAGGCTCGAACTCGGCTCTTATTCGCCCCACATGCACACACATTTGCAGAGCATCATGAAAAGGATCGCGAGAGCATACAATTTTGCACATTCATTCCTCTTTAGCTTTACAGGAGATTTCGGTCAGGTCTGAGCTTTCAAGCATTGGCCTCCACCGCCGTAGCCTCCGCGAGCAATTTCCGGTTCCATTTTCTTTTCTTCGGATTGCCGGTGGTCCCTCGACGGCATCATTCTGCGCATCGTCCTTGCCAAGGATGTGAAGGATCTCCGATCTCCGATGCCCGCAAGAGAACTCTCCGGACACGCTATCTTGTGCCATGCCATGATGATGATGATGGCTTCGGATAAGGACATGCTTTGGTTCGAAAGAAAGAACCCTCACTTTTCGTTGCGTCTCCACATGTTTGGGAGTGCTTGCGAATCTGACTCCGAGCTCGTCTTCGGGCGTCGTTCGGAGCGAGGCACAAGCTGCTGTCGAATGTTTTTTTTTTTACTTTGGCTTTTCGTTGTGCCCCATCCCCCACCCACCCTTCGACCAAAGAGCGGCTGCCATACAACATCATCATCATGAACTCGATCGTGCAGTGTGAGTATCATGAGGGTGTAAATCGAACGACCACATCTGAGGAATAAACCTTTGACATCTGTTACCACGTCGTCCTAGGCGCATGGTATGCATTCGTCTCGTCTTTTTCCCATTCGTAACTCGTTTCCAAGTTGTGAATGCCATGAGCATGATTATGATCGTTCGTGTCTTTGACAACCTCTAGACCCGGACGATCTAACTGTCACGTAAAGTAACAAGCTTTGATTTTCTTCGACGATTTTTGATGTATATATATATATATATATTTATTTATTTATTTTCTCCCAAGTGCAAGATGATCTACACATTTCCTCAATGACCTTGGGACTTCGTTAGATGGTACCCATCAGAAAGAGTGACAGCATATGGAAGACATTGAGCATATCCACACTTGTCAAAACAAACGTTTGTTACATCTTGGTAATTTCTAAACTCATGGCGGACATGAGATCGTACTGTGATGCTATTCAGTTAATTTTCAGTGTCATGTTTGACTTACCTGCATTTGGTTGTTGCTAATGTGGAATTGGTGATGTCTTGATTACAGAGTATCTTTTACATTCCAATCCATGAAATAATTCACAACGATTCAATGAAATCTCAAATAGAGGCTGAAGTAAGATTTGGAGACATTATTCAAACATGGCAGTTTTACACACAATGCCTCTCATAATATATAGAACACGGATGGGATATACGATTTTACACGTCGTAGAACATTTGCACGTCTCTATCAAGCAATCTCACATCTGCGAAATATGAAAGAACAAAATAAATCTTGGTCTTCGAAATTCCGAGGAAACCCGCCCGGAAATCAATTAATGCCGTTGAAAATCATTTGCACACAACGGACCATTGCGAAGTAGTCGGAGCCATAACTTCATAAAACGAAAGCGATAAGTCCTTATTTTATTTATCTTATTATGTCTTATTTTTACCGCCGTTCCGTGTCGAGTCCTTGGATCCTTCCCGAACATAAATCGCAACAAACGACGGACGGTTTGTTCGAGGAAGGAGGAACGTCGGCACAGAAGTGGCGTCACGTCGTCACGCGTCGGCCTCGAGTCCGTCGCGGGCCAGCCGGGCGCCGGTCGTCGGAGGTGGACCAGGGGAAGGATGTTCGAACGAGGCGCGGGGGTATATGCCGCGCCTCAACGGTTAGAGACAGAAGAGAACAAGAAGCGGAACAAGAGCAGGAAGGAAGAAGAGGAGCGGACCCATGTGCCGTCGGTTCTTCTGGGCCAGTGAGCGCGGCCGAATCTGGCGAGAAAGCCTTAACTAACTCCCAGCAAGTTTGGCAAAGGGCGAGCGAGAAAGCAAGACACAATGAGTGGGGAGTACTCGCAAACTGGATACGACCTGCGTCGATCTCGACCATTCGGGAATATCGCATGATTAGAATCGCTGCGAATATGCGACCCTCGGGTCGCTTGCGAGCGAGGAGCGAGGAGCGAGGAGCGAGGATAATGGGGGTGACAAATCACATCGGGCTAATTGGCCTTTGTCCAAGAGCGTTTGAACGCTTCGTGCTGATTCGGCTGGGCCCGCACCATGATCAAGAAGATTCACTTGTATCCACCACAAACGAGAATCGTCTTTTGTTTCTTTTTTTCCTGCGAGGTATGGGCTGCGACGGAGTTGTTGTTCTCCCCGCGGAACTGGTCAATGAAAGAGTGGTCCTGAGAACATATGGATATGATATGGGAATGTCACCACTCTCAATAATTACAACTATTCCTCATGGCTTTCTCTTTTAACTCGTCTTGATTCTCCTGGACAAATCAGCCTTTTCTGCTTTCTCTAACCTGTTTTGAACGTTTTGTGTAGAGAATATTGTTTGGAAGTTGGCGCCTTCACTCTTTCATTCACTCACTCTTCATTCATTCCTCCTTTCCTTCTTTCTTGAACCCCTCACGCATCTCATTTGCTTGCTGCTGCTGGTCCTCCTCCCCTTCATGCATGCTTCGTGTGTCCTCTTCGCTTCGAAACATCCCGTGTGTAGGCCAGGGCATGGATGGGCTGGGTCGGGCGGGGCGACCTCCCTTACAATAAGCCCTTGTATGCAACAGATGAGATTTGACCAGAGGTTTTTTATAAAAAAAAGGAGCAACGAGGACGAAGAGAAGATCCCTTTCGGATGCATACGTGGAACCTGTCCATAAATATTCAAAGCAGATAGGAAGAGCGGGGAGACGGTGTGCATATTCGAAGGTAACGTTTAGCCTCCTCCTCTCCCATCGTACACATGCCACCACCGACCAAATTCACCTCGCCACCCTATCTTGCCCAATAGATCCTTCTCAGTGGTCACAAAATCCACACTATTGGATTGTATGGGATAGAGTACCTCTGCAGACATACCGCTGCAGGATTACAGAAGCTAGCTGTTCGGTCCGCAACCCAGTTAGTTCCTTACTGAGGGGAAGGAGTCTCGAATAAATCGAACATAAACCCGACCTTCAGTGCCAATAGCAGTTGGAATAGGAGAGAGAGATAGAGAGAGAGGGGAGTCATTGACTGACTATCAAATCACCACGAGTGAAAAGAAGAAGAAAAATTCACTATGTGATCGGGTCAGCTGTTCGTGTAGATCCAATCATCACCTCCACACGTTTGTCAATCGAGAGTATTCATTCGGTCTGAATTTAATAGTCAAATCATTCCCCACCACTGCACGCCTTCAATGCTCAAGTGCTCCTGCTAATTTGCACACACCACCGCTGACTGGATCTCTGTTTTTCTGCAAAAAGAGCAAGCTCTTACCTTTTTCTTCCTTCTTTGCTTGCCTCGCCTTGCCTTGCCTCGCCTTTCTCCTTTGCCATCCATCCCACCGGTAGATCACATAACGGGGGAGCAGGGCCGTCTGTTGCAAACGAAGAGTTCGAACGGGGAAAAGTGTTTGTTTGTTTGTTTCACTTTCGTCCTCCTCCATAAAACAATCACAGTACAATGAATTAATCTCGGGAGTTTTCCTTACATCTCTTTGCAACGAATGAGCTGTATAGATTTGTCCACCTTTGCTGGTGCCAGGCATCCCCAAGCTTTTCTGCTGTAAGCATCAATCCATATGCATATGCCGGAGAGTGTGCCCCATTATGATGCCATAAGTCGTGCCAGCTTTCTTCTCCAATATCCTTTGTGTCTGTGTATGACTACCTGTAGCCCTCTTGTGGTTTACATGTTGTGCCGCTTTGCTCCTCCCACTGTGACTCCCCTCTCCCTCCCTCTCTCCTTCAGAATCTCTCTCGATTCATGAACTGAGTCTTCTAGTTCCTCATAATGGTTCCCATCAAACTTTCGACTCTTCTTCAATGCTCTAACCTGGTCGGACTCTGGAGCACGTAGACTTCCTCCTACGGACACCGAGCTGGCGTCCTCCATACCTCATTTGCGCTTTGTATTCAGCCAATGTGTCCAATTTTAACCCAAGAAGAGTTGAACGACTAGCCTTGAAAGGTGATGGGCGATGATGATGGACCGTTTTACCGTGCTGCCGCAATGTACTGTACAGGACTAGTTGAGTTGTTAATTGTCACTCGTACATTGATGCCGGATCTCGTAGAATCAAACCGGCTTATCTCTTCGAGTACTCCCTCTTGTCCGGGCCACTACACCAAGTGTTTCATTAGTTCAGCTATCAGCACTGTTTGCAATAATGGTACTTTTCATCCATGCACAGCCAGGTCGTCTTAGCACCACATCCTTCAAAATGGGCTCAATTTTTCATGTGTCCTCCGCGCTCATGCTAGTGCATTACATCCCACCAACACTTATTTCCCTCTTTATCCTCGAGTCAAAAGATACCTTTTATTGAATGCACATACATCCCAATTAGCTACCAAGAGCCGAGACATGAATGGCGCAGCTTGTGTACTTAATGGGCAGATTTTTCAAGGCTTTATCGTGGACTTGCAGTAGGCTCTATCACAGCTTTACTAGATGGTGTCCTTTATAAGCAGAATTTATCTCAGATCCATGTTACTAGATTGATCTCAATCACTCCAGTGTCAAACAATCAGTATAACTGAACTTCCTCGTGGCAGTATCTAGCCTCTTCTCTATTACACCTCCATGTTTTATATGTATTTACCTCTTACCTTCATTACCTCTGAGCTCATGAGTCGAGAACAAATCAAAAACCTCTGCTGTATGAAGTTGACATACATTGTAGATCAAGCTACGGATTTGGTACATACGACTTCAAACCAGGTTATTTCAGCACCCAGCCGATGATCAAGCATCAAGCTAGTTATTGGCTGTTTAGACGGTTTGGAAATAGCTTCGCAGCTACTTATGTTGTAACTAACTGAGATCCAATCCATAGATATGGAGCGCAGGTGCTCCTATTTTACACTGCAAAAAAATCGGTGTTAAGAATGAAGGGATTCCGTTAGTAACTCCCTTCAGGAAAAGAAGATGCAACTCGTAAGTATCGAGAGTGTTAACTTTTATAGTACGACTTTGCAGTATTCTTTTGGACATGAGTTCAACAGACATGCAACTCCCTCATCAACTTTCCATTACTTTCCTGTGTTCCTTCACTCGGGGACACACAATTAATTCCATGAAGTGTACCCTCGTCTTAAATTGGGAAACAATAGAGTTTGAAAAACGTTAGACAGAACTACTACTTCGAATTTGATTGGAATGTATCTGCCCATCAGAGCTCGTCGATACTTTCATGTGTTAAAGACTATTATCATAATATGATGATAGTTTGTGGGCAAGGTCATTGAGAAGGGTCATATACTATGACTATGAGTCATAGTTCATTCACACAATGAACTATTATCAAAGAGACGCAAAACGTGGACAGTCATCATATCTAGATGCCGGTGCGAATATGCTCGTCGCTCTGGTGGGCGGTAGCCCTTGATGACCTGTTCCATCGCTGCCAACATAAATCAAGATGAATGTGTCCATAGGTAGAAACCAACATTATAGGCAGGGCATTCAAAGTTATTTTTGTTGGTTCAACATAATTGCCAATATCTCACAAATGTCAAAGTTTTATCTTACGTATATCCATTATTTATGAAAATCGCTGAGATACTTGGATGTATAAATTGTGACATAGTTTAAATCGTTCTTAAACACACTAGTTAAATTTAATCATTGAAAATATAAATCAAAATAACCTGGATCGCAATTTAATGATTTGTAGTTTTTCATTACATGATTAATGGTATTATAAATAAGTTTATAGTCTATTTCCACAAACAGACCATACAGACTGAGAGATGTTTGTTCAGAGTCCAACAAAAATCTCTTGTTCAGAGTTATCAAGTTTTCTAAAGTTGTGATTGATTTGAAGGATCTGTAATATAACTCCTGATATATCAGAGTATAATATGAATATTATTTTCTTACTTAATTTTGAATTTGATATCTATCATCTAAATAAAAAATAATTTTATTTCAATTGCTAATGTTTTGATTTGATTTGATGATGATTTTGAATCCAGATGTCAACTCAACTTGCTGTTTCAAGATCAATTGAATGATATATGAGACTCTAGAAGATCAAATCTAAACAAATTATATACAATCATATACATTTCTTCATTCAAAGTTAATTAAATCATCTGCACTTAACTTGAAAGAAAAACTATGAAATAAATCATCATATTTTTTATAATATTGTTCTAAGTATTAAATATGGAATGATTAAAAAAAATCTATTTTTATTTTCATATGATTTTTTTCTAATGAAATTTGTTACTTCTTCTAACGATTTACTTGAACATCAATAAATAACTATAAATACATAATATATAGTATATATAAATATAAATAGATATATAAATCTCTGTTAAAATATTTATAAGTTTGAAAGAGAATGTAATAACATCATGTTTTGATCATAAAAATTCATACAAATGCATCAATGCAATTGATTATGTTTCATAATAAATTTGTTTTCAAAATCTTGAAATTCAAAAAAATAAACCATCAAATCCTTAATGAGGATATAATTTTTACTTGAATTCATGTTGAATTTATTTTCAATTTTCAAATAATTTTGTCATCTGCTAGAATTGAAGGATTTTGAACAATATTTTTTATTAAATCTAGTGACAAACTTATAATTTCATGCAAAAGTGAATTTAGTTACTCAAACTTTGCACAAGCTTACATTAGATGCTAATGTTAAAATTAAATTGTTTGTTTCACTTGTTTGCAACAACATTATTTTGAATTATTTCTCTTCAAAGTTTTACTTCAAAACAAGTTTTGTATAAAAAATTTGCTGAATGCAAATGACATAATTTTCAATAAGACATGAATATTTGATATGTTGTCATAGATATTTGATTCATAGTATATATCATATCAAAAAATTCAATCAAGGAATTTCTGGAGATTTATTTTCTAATCATGTTATTTGATATTTGACTTTGTTGTGAAAAAATGAATTATGATTTATTTTTACTGTGAATAAAAAGCAATGTTGTGACAATATGATCATTATTCATATAATAAAGTACACTTTAATCATTTTCAACACTTATGATATGAAAATGATATTTTAAACTAGTATAAAAGTTTGTATTCTAAAGACGTGCATATTTCATGATAAGATCAATATTATGATAAAATGATAAAAAAATATCAAAACATATTATGAAAATTTATTATATATAATAGTGGTATTGATTTAAAATTTTCAAAAAAAAATTATTGATTTGTTGCCATGAAGCTTATTTTTTTAAATATATGTCAAAATGCAGATTACTTCATACTTCTTCAGGACCTGTACACTATGTACTAGTTATTAGTACCGAGAATACTAGTAATTATGATGTATAACAACTGGGATGCGACCCTTGAATGAGTGTGTCCCACTGTCAGGGGCATATCCCTTCTCAGAGGTGCGATACGTGTGCTCTCTCATGGCATTTGGTACTATCAGGATTGGATACTTAAACCAATACAGTACGCATGTTATCATCCATCAATGAAGCTTCAATCCTTACTCAATTGTGACTAATATCTCACTTTCAATTGTTCATTTTATCTAACATGGTATTAGAGCAGGTTCCATTCTGATTCAAGTACGCTAGAATCCACAAAGGCAAGAGTACGCTTCTCGTTGTGAACCATCTTTGTGATGCCTGCAAAAGCAATTACAAGAGATCATGAATCCCCACTTGGCTCTGAAATTTGACTCAAAATTTGAGCAAACTCGACTATTCTAACATATTTATTACCTGTCAGTGCTGATCTGAAGCACTGTGGAGCCCGAATTTCAACAATTTCTTTTAAATTTTGAGCAAAATTTTAAAGTTTATTGCAATTCAAAAAAGAAAATAAACAAAATTTCATAAAGATTTTTGTTTCGCAAAATTTTCTGACAGTGGGGTCAATATCCTGCACCACATCGTAAAGAAGGTGTAAACATGCAGACGTTGCGAGGAAGATGACTACTCCATGAACTTCCATCCGATTCTCATTAAAGGATCTTCCTAAATTCGATGTAAACACCTTCATGCTTGGAAAGGCCCGATCAATTGGTTACCATATGACAGACAATATTAGTTGGAGAAGTCTTGCTCTGATATCATGTTAGATCAGATGACCAATTGAGAGTGAGATATCAGTCACAATTGAGGAAGGATTGTAGCTTAATTGATGGATGATAACGGTCATCCCGGATTGGGTTTAAGTACTCAATTCGGATAGGATCAAAGTCCATGAGAGAGCATACCGATCACACCTCTCAGAAGGGATATGCCCTTGACAGTGGAACACACGCTGTCATGGGACGCACCCATTCAAGCGTCGCATCCCCAGTTGTTATACATCATAACTACTAGTAATCTCAATCCTAATAACTAGTACATAGTGTATAGGTACCGAAGAAGTAGGGAGTAATCTCCATTCTAACAATATATATATAGAATTGAGATAAATAAAATGCAACATGATAGTATTCAACTTCAGTCTAGTTTAACTCAAGTTAGTTTTAATAGATGTTAATTTATTTAGAATACCTATTATTGTATAATAGAGTTTACTAAAGCTTTCAAAAAAAAATGTATTTAGCTACTCTTTAAGTAAAGCATTTGCATTCACATTGATGTAGTCAAACAAGATAAACAACGTATATCTTTTGATGTCTAGTTTTTAAATTGTATAAAAGATTAAGTTGTATAACTAACTATTTTCAAACGATTATAATTAATCATTCAATTTTGACTCTATTCAAATAATGTCAAGAATTGAGACTATTGAGGTTCAAAGTCAATTAGAATGAAGCCCTTTAGATGACTTGTGACTCTATACCAAATACGAACATCAAGTACATTTGTAAATTCAAATCTTAGTTAGAAAATTATAACATCTAAATGAGCTAAAAGAAGTAGCTCAGATGTGACAAAGATGATAGATGTTATATCTCTAAAGTATACACTTGCTTAAGTCCGCAACTTGATTTGGGAAGTTTAGTGCAGACTTAACTTAGATGCGGATCTAAGTAATATTAGGGGCAACCCATATAATAGTAAAGTTAATACATAGGAAACACAAATGTGAGTTCATTTGCAATCATGAGCGGACAACGTGTGATGAAACGTAAAGACTTGGACCAACGTCTTAATAACCGTCAAATCCAAGCAATCCAAACCGCCGACTAATCGAAGCATTGCTCGTCAATACGGTGTCAATGAGAAGGTTATTTGGAATTTGAAAGCAAGCAAAGATGAGATTTGCAAACAAGCCCAAAGGGTTGATCAAACTACTCAATAATTCTCATTTCGCGTTTCGCAATCATTGATCCTGAGCTTGAGAAACGGCTATATGAATAGATTGATGTCGGACGCCGAATGTTGCTTGTTTTTCCATCCAGTCTCATCTGCCACATAGCAGAACAAATTGTTGGGGCTATGAAGATAGGTGATGATCAATTCAAGGCTTTGTGGTCATGGTTTTTGAAATTTCGTCATCGCTTTGATTTAAATGGCGCAAACTTGTTTGGTGAAGGCGGTGAGGTTGACAAACATAATCCTGAAACTTTACGAGCTTTGAATGAATCATGTGCAATTATCGACCAATATGATCCAGCTTACGTGTACAATATGGACGAAACTAGATTGTTCTTTTGACTTGTTCCAACTTACACCGTCTTGATGCCAAATGAAGATACGTCAAAAGTTTGGAGCAAGATAAAAGCGAAAGACTGCGTGACTTATGTGCAATTATCGACAAGTATGATCCAGCTTGCGTGTACAATATGAAAGAAACTGGATTGTTCTCTTGACTTGTTCCAAGTTACACCTTCTTGATGCTAAATGAAAGATACAATGTGTTGAAGTCTTATGCATTCAATACTTCAATATAGTTTCTTATTTTTTATATAAAAAATTATTATTTCAATTGTTCAATTATAGTTGTTTCATCAAACTTTAATATCATGTTGGTTGATAAAGATGCTTGTTTATAGATCCAAAATATCTCTTTTGTTTGAAGTTGCTCAATAACTTCTATTGTGAAAACTTAACTAAAATTCAAATATTATGTCGGGTAGATAATAAATATTAATAAATCAAAATTATAACATACAAAAATTAAGATTTAAAAGTCAGTCTTGAAGTAAATCTCTCATTATTTAAAGTTTTCTTGATACTTGAATTTTTTTTTCAAATAAGCCGTGTTTGAAATTAAAATTTATTTAGGAGAAATATAAATCATTAAAGCTATTTTTGATGATTTAAATAAAATTTTTTATGAAATTGACATTTCTTATTTTGTACCTATTTTTTTAAATATATTATCAAAAATTAATATGATTTTTCATGCATTTTGAATCTTGAAGTTTTTATTCATTTAAATATAAGTATTTTTTCCTAATATAATTACATAAATATATATTATATTTTTGAAATTTAGTCAAAAAATTGGTTTCAATTTTTTGTCAAATTGTGAAGTACTACCTTGATTCGATTTTCTTATATAAAAACATTCACTTTTCTAATCATTTAATGATGATTTCATATATTTTTATTATTGCTATAGAGAAATTTATATTTTTTCATCTTCATGCTATGTGATGTGTTTAGATGTTTAAGTTGTACGATATTTGATATTTAAATTCTACAAAACTATTGCTATTAAAGCTTGCATCTTGGCTAAATAGGTTTTTATTGAATTGAAAATTTTCCACATTTTGACACTACTATAGAGTCATACTTCAAAGAAAGAGTAATCTATAAGTTTTTGTTGCTTATTTGCTTTCTACAAGAATTCTATACCTTTGTGCTTCAAATCAACTATTGCAAAACCTCTAAATAGATTTTGATTGACATATTCATCCATAATCAACATCTTCTTATTTATTTTATTGAGATATAAATGAGCAACAAGAAACAAGGTTGTGAAATTACTTTGCATCTCATGATAATAACATTCAAGTTCAGCATAAAATCTCAAGATTAATTAAATTTGTGAATTGTATTAAAAAATTATCATGTTATTGATGTACGCGATTTGATGTTTTAGGTGTTTTAAGATTACACATTTATCTTAAAAAACCCTTATTAATCAACTTTTAAAAGAATTCAACCAAAGTGTGAAAACTTACAGCTACTTTAT